GGCACCCCAATAAATCAGATAATCATAAACCACTCCAAAGCCTCATACCTTAAAGAGAAACTAAACAACCACAATGTATATAGTGTTGAACAATTTTTAAATACAACCAATACTAGATTCTTAGAATGGAATGACTTCCACCATAATATTAAGAAGATACCTAGAGGACGGTACCCCCAATGGTTCCATATAGTTCAAGACCTAATAGCAGCATCAGAAAACCCATCTATAGCACCCCTACACTCAAACCCACATACTTTGGACAACTAGACTCCTAGCAAGAAAGGCTGGATAATCACAAACAAGCTGGTCGTTGGAAGAACAACATACAACTCTTCTAATAAAACCTTCAAAACCCGACACTACATCCTACAGCCAAACAAAACACTAATTGCCTGTCAAGGCTGCAATTTAAAAAACCGATCCTATTACTCTAAAAACTGCTACTTCAATGCAACAAAACCTTTCTATAACCTGCAAGTAGACTGCAAGAAAAATATACACTTAAATTTAGCAGACCTCAGAGAAGCGATAAGCCTAAACTCTGTACAAACATCCCAGAGTCTCTCGATACTCAATAAGAAAACACCACTGGCCAGACCTCTCTGTGCCTTCATGGATCCCTCTGTTCCACTTTGGGATACACTTACAAAAACAAACCTTAACTTGAAAACCTTAACGCTTTACATGACAAGTACTAATCAAACAATAGGAAACAACCGTCACATAGTTGCAAAATGCCATCTTCAAAATATTCACGCCCCTTTCAGTTGTTTTACCAACTCCTGGCCTTCACATCTTCACTCTCTACTTACTCTGCTAAACTTCGTTCTCACAACAACAAACCCACGCACTTCTGTCAAGATCTATACAAACAATCATTCCTTCACCAACCTAATTAATTTGGCACACTCAGTGGTATCACATAACTACCCTATACTAGACAAGCAACATTTCACATACCTTCTACTAATACTAAAATCCTTAACCTATGATCATGAACTTAACATAATTTTCGACAAAGATGTCAAGATTCAAAAAATCGCAAGTCCTATCTTCCCTTTGGATCCTATGCCTCAGGACTTCTTATACAACCGTTTCATGCCAAAACTCCTCAGCAATCCTTGTATATACCTGTTAAAAAACACATTAAAATATGTACATCAAATTACCAACCGCTTAATCTGGTTTAATCAACAACAAATCTCTAGCTGGCACAATGCTCAGAGAAACATTAACTGAGAACAAACACTACAATATATCACGTTTGGCGAGAGACCGCTAGCATTACATACTGACTCATCAACCTCAACAATAAAAAACTTCAAGATTAAACTTCTATCAGAAGAACTACCTGTATATCTCTTACTCCACTTGAGAAGCACTATGAAATATCCTGACTACCATTGTCCTCGGTGCCTTTACGGGCCAGAAGATATTGCCCACCTCCTAACCTGCAGCCGGAATCATCTACGTCTTAGGACCTTAATTACTCAGGCCGTACAAGAAACTTCCTGCACTCTGGAAATCCTACATTTCCGCTTAGATGACTTCACTCAGGCCTTCACCAACCTTCATACTATCAAAAAGATGTCCCTTGGGCTGATTACAGATGAAACCCTAGCTTCTTTCAAGCAAAATAAAGACAAACGGAAGTATGCAGCTTTGATCCACCATAATATCATAACAGCAATATACAAGAAGCTATGGATAACTTCTCGGATAACACAACATGACCTGATATTTCAGCCACCTCCTCCATTAAGACCTCCTGCAATGATGAAGACTAACCCACTTAACCCCACTTTTCTAAATAACAAGATCCACCAATATATAACTAATGGACAATTTTCTCTTAACTTCTTGCTCAAAGACTAGAGGTCTTCGACTATTCTAGCAAAGAATGGGTCGAGAGTAAACTAGCTCTTACCTTTATTTCCCTTAAATATAGTTTTATCTTCATGTACTTCGTTTATATGTATATTCAACTATTAAATAAAAGAAATAGAGAATAGACCTCTCTTTAAAAAAAAAAAAAAAAAAAAAAAAGGTAAATTTTATTTAAGTTTAAATTTGAGCATATATATTGTATATATCACAATCAAATTATATGAATAAGATGAATGAAATGATTGAAGAGCATTATACTGTATATAATAGTAAGCAAGCATTTATGTTCTTGGTTTATGGACTTGGCTTTTTGACTTTAATTCTGCAAATTAATAAATATTCTTTATAATTATAGGCTGAATAAGACAATTAGTGTGAATGAAATGATTGAAGGGCATTATACTGTATAATGGTAAGCAAGCATTTATGTTCTTGGTTTATGGACTTAGCTTTTTGATTTTAATTCCACTAATTAATAATATTCTTTATAATTATAGGCTTAATAATTAGTGCGAATAAAACGATTGAAGGATATTATACTGTAAGCAAGCATTTATGTTCTTGGTTTATGAACTCAGCTTTTTGATTTTAATTCTGCTAATTAATAATATTCTTTATAATTATGGGCTAAATAATTAATATGAATAAAACGATTGAAGGATATTATACTGTAAGCAAGCATTTATATTCTTGGTTTATGGACTTGGCTTTTTGATTTTAATTTCGCTAATTAATAATATTCTTTATAATTATGGGCTGAATAATTAGTGCGAATGAAACAACATTATTATAGCAGTAAACAACAAACACGTAGTCTAAGTAAACAACAAATCAAGAAAACTGTGGACGTGTAAAGTAAACAAACATAAATCAAGAATATATACGTGTAAAATTAAGCAAACATATATCCAAAAGGAGAAACTTCTAGAAACAAATGGAACTTAATAAAGAAATACCGGTTACTGGCGGGCTTCTTGAATTCATACGTGGGACAGCAGGTAAAGTACTTAAATATCTAAACAATAGTGAGTTGTTAGATATTCTACGTACAGCAAATCCCACAGAACCAGATGATATAGAGCAATTGGCAAAAGACCTTGCAATCAGCAATCCAGAGGGAATTACAATATTCGACATGCTTTTATACGGTCAAATACGTGATGCGCTCAAGAAAGCAGAAAAGCTTCTGCAACAAGATACCATTAAGCAATGGGCAGTACAAGCGAAAATAGCAAGTAATAACCCATCATCGATAAATTATATGGTAAATATGAGTGAAGAGGAAATAAAAAAGGAGGAAAGCAAGATGGAAGGACTCGAGAAAAAAGGTCCAGTTGAAAAGCCTCAGTTTTCAGAACCAAAGAAAAGAAGATCATCAGAAGATGAAGAAGAAACAAACAAAGACATAGACCATGTGGCTAGACAACTTCAAGACCTAAATATTAAACCAAATCATCAAGAAACAACTGGTCGCTATACAATTGAAGAAATAAATAGTATGTTAGGAGATAATTTCGTGCATCTCCCAGCAAATAATCAGTATACTGAAGATATAAAGACTACATCAAGAGATCAAAACGCAGAAGGTTCAACATCAAGGGGAAAGAAGATTAAAAAGGACAAAGAAGCTCCAGTAGACAACATCCTAAGGGATGTAATCAAGACACAACAAGTAGAGCTTGAATGTAACAACTCAATGATTGCTAATAGACAAGAAACAGAAAATGAAACACCAATCTTTACAGCCACGATAGAACAAAGTATATGGTCTCCAGAGAACAGAATCTGTAAAGAAGGTCAATCCTTTATAGCAAAGGTGCCAATATACAGTCTTCCAGGTAACTCAGCAGAAGAACGTGCTGGGTATGTCAGAAGATTACTTGGAGAAAACAAACACATTAAAGAAGTAGAAGAACGTTTTAGAAAAGGAAATTGCTGGGTAGAGGTAGTGTTCGATTGTGAATATGGAAGAGATTTAGCAGTAAATAGAATAAAGAAAAAGGAAGGAGATTGGCTAAACCTAATTCCAGAAGAACCAGAAAACTCTCGACCTAAGCAAAAGAAACAAGAAAAAAATCAAGCAGTACCAAGAAGATACGATCACGAAAGACGTATAAATATAGATTGTATCACAATATGGGATCTTCCAGCAGATATAAAAGTACAAGAAGTTAAATATATATGCAAGAAACTAGGAAAAATCCAAGATATGTATATTAAGCGCAGAAATGGTAGAGCTCTTGCAGTAGTAGAGTTCAACACAAGAATAGAAGCTGCAGACCTACCATGGGTACTTCCGATAGGTGACGGAAGACTAGCTCGAGTATCTATAGGCAAAGAAGACCATAAAGAAAGAGACCAGAGACATAAGTTTATAGCAAAACTAGTAGGAATCACAGAAGGTCTGTCAGAAACATTACTCCTTAGACATCTGAAAGATAGAAAAGCAAAAGCAGTATACATCCCTAAAAAGAAAAGTGGATTAATGAAACAAGTTGCAAAAGTAACCTTCGCTACTGAATCAGAAATGAAAGAAGCACAGAAGAAATCAGTAAGATACAACAACCTTTATCTTCACTGGTTACAACCTATACAAGTGAATGAGGGAAAAACAAATAATCTCACGAAGAATCAGAAGTATTGGAGTGATGCACAAGAAGACAGAAGTGGAACAGACGATGAAGAAGAAAAAAGAGAGCCACCGAGAGGAGGAAGATTTGATAAGAAAGCATCTCTATACAAAGGAAATAGTTCTGCTTCAGATGGAAGCAGCACTAATGAAGAATATAAAGAAAAATGGAACAATAAAAGAAGATTTTTTAATAATAAACAAGAAAGAGAAAGAAGCTTAGATTATGAAGATACAACAGACAATGGAAGTTTAGCAGCAAGAATAGAAGAACACCATATAATGCTCCAAAAAATTATGCGCCACCTAGAAAGATTGAGTGAGCAGCCACTGGCTGCTCAACGCTCCTAAACTAGGAGCACCTGTTGAATCAATGGAAACAGATGAAGAATTTGAACCCTTTCTGCAAGAAAACTTAAATCAGAACTTCGATCAAGAAGAAACGATTCTTCATCTAACAAAAAATATATATAAAGGAAAGGGTAAGATAGTCGAAAAAGAATCAATAGCACTTAATAGTAAAAACAATGAAAGCAAAGTTAATAGAAGTAAAGAACATTCAGAACAATTAAGGGAGCTTAATATTGCAACTCACAACATTAACGGTATAAAGAGCAATACTCATAAGCTAGAGTTTGCTTATGAGTGGGCACTAGATAACAAAATAGATATACTGGGGATTGCAGAGTCAAATATCACCAGCAAAGAAGGTAGTTGGTTATCTATGGAACAAAACAACTTTAAAAGTTTTTGGGCAAACTCAAACAAAGATAAAAAGAAAGGCTCTGGAGTTGGTTTATTAATAAACAATCGATGGGCAAAACATATAGGGAATGTAGACAAAATAAGCGAATATATAATGTCGGTTAGTTTGTTGCTCAAACAATTAGAAATTATAGTTATAATGCTCTATATACCCCCAAACAACGATCAAGAAAAGAAGAAAGCCCGCAGAATAATTATTGAAAAATTCATCAACAGGTCTTACAAATCACAAATGATAATAATGGGTGATTTTAACAGCATAGTAGATCCAAACCTAGATCAGACGCAGAATAAAGAAAGGAAGAATTTTAGAAAAGATCTGATTCTGCTTTGGCTACAGAAACAAGAATTTCAAGATACTTTTCGAACCATGTACCCAAAAGCGAGAAAATACACATGGTCAAATGGAGAAACAAGTACAAGAATTGACCAAATATGGATCTCGGATGAACTGTCCTATGGTTTATTTGATACAGAAATACAAGAGATGGATATATATACCAATAGTGACCATTCATCAAT